CTCCATGTTGGTCACGCTGGTCTCAAACTCCTGACCTCAGGTGATCCACCCTCCTCAGCCTCCCAAAATGCTGGGATTACAGGCGTTAGCCACCACACCTGGCCGAAAGCCAGGTCATTTTAAAATGACAATGAACAAATTCATGTACAGCATTCAGACTACTTTGATTATGATCATTTCAACAGGGAATTTAAGTTGGAGATTAATTGGGTCTATAGCATTTTTTTTTGAGACAGAGTCTTGCTCTGCTGCTCAGGCTGGAGTGCAGTGGCACAATCTTGGCTCACTACAACCTCCACCTCCCAGGTTCAAGCAGTTCTTGTCCCTCAGCCTTCCAGGTAGCTGGGATTACAGGTAGGTGCCACGATGACCAGCTAAGTTTTGTATTTTTTAGTGGAGATGGGGTTTGACCATGTTGGTCAGGCTGACCTGAAATGATCCACCCACCTTGGCCTCCCAAAGTGCTGGGATTACAGACATTAGCCACTGCACCTGGCTGGGTCTATAACATTTTAATAATAGATTACCTGTACCTGAATCCTGTACCTGAATACAGGTTATTTTTGCCAGAGATCAGAAGCCTGGGAATAGAGTTGATTTGCTTGGCCAAGCTATACCATTTGCAGCCTGCTAAATGTAAAACAGGGATAATATGCCAACTTACTGTAGCATCAAACGTCCTCTTTAGGGTAAGCAGTTCAAAAATGACGCAGCCTACTGCCCAGATATCAGACTTGAAATTATACTTTACTCCTTGACAGAGCTCTGGAGACATGTAATATGGGGTTCCTACAAGCTGAGCAACAAAGAAACAATCAAAGAATAATTTCTTTTCTGAGGTAACTATGTTAACATTTCAACAGCTTAATTCAATTTCCCAGGAACTAATGGTAACAACCATAAAACATTCATGGGCAGATTCCAAAATGGTTTTTATGAGATGATGCCACCATGGAAAGAAATTTTTTTTTTTTTTTTTTGAGACAGAGTTTCACTCTTGTTGCCCAGGGCTGGAGTGCAATGGCATGATCTTGGCTCATCGCAACCTCGGCCTCCTGGGTTCAAATGATTCTCCTGCCTCAGCCTCCCAAGTAGCTGGGATTACAGGCATGTACCACCACACCCGGCTAATTTGTATGTTTAGTAGAGACAGAGTTTCTCCATGTTGGTCAGGCTGGTCTTAAACTCCCAACCTCAGGTGATCCACCTGCCTCGGCCTCCCAAAGTGCTGGGATTACAGGCGTGAGCCACCACACCTGGCCTAAAAAAACTTATTCACATCAAATCTCTTGGGTCAATCATAAAGGGACAATCTCTGAAGTAAAGGAACTGTGGTAACTTGAGGGGCTCAATAACTCTGTGATTCCTAGATCACATAGGCTTCAGGCATTCAAGGCCTACTAAAGACTTTACATATACTAAGAGAAATACTTAGTAAAAGTTCACCAATGGGAAAAAAAACCCCAAACACTGGCAGTGGGGAGCTGATAACTGAATGAAGGAATTAGATGTTCTGACTAAAATACGCAGTAATGAAACTTTTAAAATGGCCCAATTTGGCATCTGTTACACTAACACAGCTAGTGAATTTCTTTTTTTTTTTTTTGAGACAGAGTCTCACTCTGTAGCCCAGGCTAGAGGGCAGTGGTACAATCTTGGCTCACTGCAACCTCCACCCATGAGGTTCATGTGATTCTCCTGCCTCAGCCTCCCAAGTAGCTGGGATTACAGGCGCCTGCCACCGTGCCCGGCTAGTTTTTGTATTTTTAGTAGAGACAGGGTTTCAACATCTTGGCCAGGCTGGTCTTGAACTCCTTACCTCATGATCTGCCCGCCTTGGCCTCCCAAAGTGCTGGGATTACAGGTGTGAGCCACCGTGCCCGGCCGTGAATTTCTTTTGAATTTGAAAAAGATTTTCTGACTTCAGAAATAAATTTGGAAATAAAAATGTTCTAAGAAGTCATGCCTCTCCCGAGATGAGATATAATGAATGCCCTAGCAGCTCTAATAAAACTCACAGTCAGTTTTAATCACCAAAGCAAAGCAAGTTTCAGATGGCTTATACGGTTTTTATAAATTTTCATATCATTCCTTCTTTGCATTTAACTAGCTAAAAAAAAGTGAAGTCTCGGTTTTATCAGATTGTTCTTGATGAGAAAAATCCATATAAAGAAATGATTGCTTCTTCAGAAGCTCACTTCGGCCTCCCTCAAGTCCTTGAAGCAGACTCCCAACCCTAAACGTCTAAATTGCTTGCAGGCATATCTTGACATTATATATATAAAAAATATTATTGGCCAAAATCAGTTTTCAAGTTAAGGATAGAGCATTGTGAAACCAGAATAATAATAACTGGGTTTTATAATTCCTAAAAGGATAAGACTACTGTCCTAAAGATAAACTTATGTCTACTCTTTACCAATGATCTTTCTCAAAATCACGTGAGAGGGGACCCCTGTACAGTTCAGACTGTGTATGATATGAAAGAATAGACTTTTCTCTGAGCATCAGCCTTCATTTGTTATATAGGCCTTCTCTTTGAACCAGAAACATTCAAAGAAAATACAAAAAGAGACATCTAACACCTTGAGCTCAAACATTAAATAAGAGATAAAGTAAAATCTACTAAAGATCCTAGGCTGGACAAAATAGTAAAGCATTTTGTTGCTTTTAGATTAAGTCCCTAGTCAGTGTTGGAAAAGTCTGTGAGGTCAGAGCTTTAATGTGGACAATGACTCTTGAAGGGACACTTGACCATGTAAATGCCTCCTAGTGAGCCCAGGAAAAAGATTTCTGAAGACTTGCATTAAAAGTATGGAGAACTTCCAAGAATATTGATAAAAGTATGCAAGATTTAGGGAGCATAGTTATATATCACAGTGCTGGAAAGGAAAAGAAAATAAAAATGAAGACAAGGGCAACACATACCGTCTCAGCCATGGAATACTCAGAATTAAGTTTCTTTGCTAGGCCATAATCTCCAAGTTTTATCAGGTTTGCCTTGGTCAGAAAAATATTTAATGTCTTTATATCTCTGAAAAAAAAGATGCTGCATATTAAGTTCATACAGATAATTGTTTTATTTCATCCCCCATTTTGCCCAGGATTATTACAGAATAAAAATGAGTGTGGGGCGGGTGTAGCGACTCACACCTGTAATCCCAACACTTTGGGAGGGCAAGGTAGGAGGATTGCTCGAGGCCAGGAGTTCTAGACCAGCCTGGGCAACATAATGAGACCCCATTTCTACAAAAAAGAAATTAGTCAGGATTGGTGGCATACGCCTGTAGTCCTAGCTTCTTGGGAGGCTAAAGCACCCAAGAATCAGTTGAGCCCAGGACACTGAGGCTGCAGTGAGTTATGATTGCACTACTACACTCCAACCTGGGCAAAGGGTGAGACCCTGTCTCAAAAATTAAACAAAACAAAAGAGTTTTACCATTGCTCATATTCTGTACTAAACATTCCACAGTGGTCATCACTTTCACATGCTGTTTAACAATGAAGGGAGAACTTAAAAAAGTGAAGGCAGAGAATTAATTTCATCCTCTAGGACTTCACAGCATAGAAATACTACTGAAGCTACTAGAAAAAGTTGAGAGGGTCAGATGAGGAAAATGGTGCTCTAGGTAACCATAATTCCCATAAGATACCCCCCTCTTCAACTATTACTTATGCCTTGAATTAAGTGATATCAAGACAACTTTAACAAACTTGGTTGGTGTCAAAGTTTTGAATAATCTTTTAAGGCAAGAGAAGAGGCTACATGTCCCTGTAACAATATGCTTAGGCCATTTAGTCATCTAAATAAAATCACATGCTATTTTTCTAAGGATGAATGGACCATATGTAAAACAAAATGAACTGTGCCTGGTTCACTAGGGCTTCCTTTATTGAAAGATGCAAATAAGTCAGAACAATATACTTTGTTACTTTTAAAAAGAAAATAACAACATGCAGCAGAAGCCACTGAATAGTTATCAAGAAATATACATTAATTGAATGAACAAACCAATGAAAAAAGAAATCTTAGTGTATTATAATTAATCTCTGGTACTAGTCAATGACTCACTTAAGAAGGTTATAATGTGAAAATGTTATTGAGACGGTTCTCTTCATTACCTAGAAATGAATGGAAACTTGTTTTTTTCCCCCAAAGAGCTAGTAAATTTGTGCAATTAATTGTACAAAGTGAAGAGACTTTTATTTAAATTAAAAGAGCTTAATTATAAACTCAAAAACAATTGGCAATTATTATTGCTGTGAATTCTTACCAAACACTCCTTATGAGGCCTTCGAAGCTTTACTGATAAATTAACAAACTGAACTCTAAAATTTTTGTCTGTTAAAGAAATGACAGCCAGGTGCAGTGGCTCACGCCTGTAATCCTAGCACTTTGGGAGGCTGAGGTAGGCAGATCACTAGGTCAGGAGTTTGAGACCAGCCTGACCAACATGGTGAAACCCCATCTCTACTAAAAATATAAAAATTAGCCAGGTATGGTGGCATGTGCCTGTAATCCCAGCTACTCAAGAGGCTGAGGCAGGAGAATCACTTGAACCAGGGAGGCGGAGGTTGCAGTGAGCCAAGATCGTGCCATTGCACTCTAGCCTGGCGACAGAGCCGTCCCAAAAGGAAAAAAAAAAAGGAAATGACTAGGAAGTACTTAGCTACTGAGGAGATTCTTCCTAGATCATAAACATTAACCTCAGGAAGTGAAAATAACATTCCTCATTACTTTCCTTTCCTAATGATATCAATGGAAAAACTCTTGGCTGCTTAATCAAAAAATAAAAGTGTTGATGGGGAGTATCCAGGGTAGGTGCTGAATTGGTAGGAAAGAATCCATCCATAAATTTTTTCACTTCTTACCTATGAAGGATTCCAGCTTTATGGATACAGCTCACTGCTGAAACAATCTGGAATAGGTACCAAACCACCATCTGAAGAGAAACAATAAATATGTGGATTAGAAACAAAAAGCTCCATTTAAGTAAACACAAACACATATACAAACAAACAAAACAAAAGAAAGCTGCAACCAGAAGTTATGATTCAACATGACTTGACACCTCTTCCTTGCAGATTGAGTAGGCAAAGAAAAGTGAAGGGGTAAAAAAAAAACACAAAAAACAGGTTCCTCATAAAACAGTTCCAATGTCATTATAAAATATAGTATGGTAAAGGAGATATGTGGAAAAACTCAGGAAGAATGCAAAGTTATTAAAAACTGGGCATACCAGTATGCAGTAATAGAACCAGGAAAGAAAGCCCACAGAGAATCATGATGTGGAGGTAAAACGTTTAGGAAGCAGCTATAGACAGCTTCCTTGTTAGAAGTTTCCTTTCTCATGAATATCAGAGCCTGGAAGGAGTCTGAACAGAAGGAAAAAAACACTCTTCATTATTGGAAGAGTAAATACAGAACTAGAATGCAAGAATTACAACACTACAATTCTAACTTCCTTCCATAAAAATATGAATTACCTCTTCCTCAAACAACTTGTCCTTCTGACGAAGGATTTTGTCATACAGGTTCCCTCCTGCAATTAAACAAGACACAGGTTTGAATTGCTTAATACAGATCAAAGCTTGGCTCCTGTAACAGGGTTTTAACAGATGACACAAAAGAAATGAAGGATTGTGTTTCTCTCCATAGGCAACTACTTCTTTGGCTTTTCACACCGGCACAAAATTCTTCCCATGTCTCAAGGACTGCATCAGAAATATTCTTCAAAGACTTTCCTCTCTAACACAAGAGGCTCAATACAAAAAAAAAGAAATTTTTAGAAAAGATAAGAGTAAAGACCATTCCTGTTATTCCCAACAAGCGAAATATATTCAAAATCAGATGATTTCTTTTCTAGAACTCCCCTTTAAGGACTCTGCAGTATTTTTGTAACAACTCTCCCAGTTGTGACTACTATAACATTTGGACTAGGCTGGGTGCAGTGGCTCATGCCTATTATCACAGCACTTTAGGAGGCTGAGGTGAGCAAATTGTTTGGGCTAAGGAGTTCAAGACCAGCCTGGGCAGCATGGCAAAATCCTGTCTCTACCAAAAATACAAAAAATTAGCTGGGTGTTGGAGCACACGCCTGTGGTCCCAGCTACTCAGGAAGCCTGGGAGGCGGAGGTTGCAGTGAGCCAAGATTGCACCACTGCACTCCAGGCTGTGTGACAGTGAGACTCCATCTCAGGGAAAAAAAGAAAAAAATTGGATTACACCTGTGATGCAATGTTTTGTATTTATAGGATGTATACTGACATATTTTCTACTTCACAATGAAAAATTTCCCAAAATTTTGGGTCTATCCCTAGACTGTTTCCAATCATTACTCTCTTTACTAATTCCTTTCTGTGGAATAAGTGTGAATGTACTTCTCTCTTTCCTTTATCAAGTAATTCAGACTACAAGTAATCATGGTTCATCTTACATCCCACCTGCAACTATAACTTACACTTTAGCTCTGTGTAAGTTTTTACAACTGATTTTTCCCTGCAACTTAATAATTTAGTTTCAACAAATGTATCATTTGTTCCAGTTCTTCCTAATCACAAAAGAAGTTAACTACCTAGGGCTTCTGCTACTTCGAAAATTTTTAACATAATATTGAAAATGGCTTTGATCACCAATGATCAGAATATACAAGCGTCAACACAAGAAAGTTGTAAGTGACGAATATGCTGGGACATCTTTAGCAGGCAGTTCAGAAAAGGGCTTTGGAGGTTCTTGTACAATAAGGTAATTAACAGTTAGTATAGTATGTAGCAAACACTTCCTACCTACCAAACACTATGCACTTAATACAACAACCCTGGAAAGTAAGTACTGTTATCCACAAACTCTTTTTTTTTTTTTTTTTTTTTTTTTTTGAGACAGAGTCTTGCTCTGTCGCCAGGCTAGAGTGCGGTAGTGCAATCTCTGCTCCCTGGTTCAAGAGATTCCCCTGCCTCAGCCTCCTGAGTGGCTGGGATTACAGGCATGCGCCACTATGCCCAGTTGATTTTTGTCTTTTTAGTAGAAATGGGGTTTCACCATGTTGGCCATGATGGTCTTGAATTCCTGACCTTGTGATCCGCCCACCTCAGCCTCCCAAAGTGCTGGGATTACAGGCGTGAGCCACTATGCTGGTTTTTTTTTTTTTTTTTTTTTTTTGAGACAAGGTCTCGCTCCATCACCCAGGATGGAGTGCAGTGGTCTGAGCTCACTACAACCTCTGCTTCCCGGTCTCAAGCCATCTTCCCTCCTCATCCTTCCAAGTAGCTGGAACTACAGATGCACACTACCACACCCAGCTAATTGTTTGTATTTCTGGTAGCAACAGGGTTTCATCATGTTGCCTAGGCTGTCCTCAATCTCCCATGCTCAAGGGATCCGCCTGTCTTGGCTTTCCAAGGTGCTGGGATTACAGGTGTGCACCACTGTCCCTGGCCAACAAACTCATTTCAAAATCAGGAAACTGAGGCACAGAGTAGTAGTTTCTTACCAAGGTTATAGAGAAAGCAGAGAAACTTCGGATGTGGGTTCAGAGTCTATATTGCTATCTTACAAGCAAAATGATCTGAAGAAATCAGAGACCAGATAAATAGGGCCATGCTTTACCATATATCATTTTCACTCAGTTATGATCTTTGGGCCACTTTTTAATAGGATAGCTTTAGCTGAAGACAATATAAATAAACATCACTTGTAAAATCTTATTAAATATTGTATCAAGTGGTACCAATCCACACTCTAGTTAACTAATGTCATTTCATAAAGAAAAACCTTGAAAAATAAATCCAACCAAAGAAAAAATAGTTTGAAAATGGAACTATAAGGCCGGGCGCGGTGGCTCAAGCCTGTAATCTCAGCACTTTGGGAGGCCGAGGCGGGTGGATCACGAGGTCAAGAGATCGAGACCATCCTGGTCAACATGGTGAAACCCCGTCTCTACTAAAAAAAAAAATACAAAAAATTAGCTGGGCATAGTGGTGCGTGCCTGTAATCCCAGCTACTCAGGAGGCTGAGGCAGGAGAATTGCCTGAACCCAGGAGGCGGAGGTTGCGGTGAGCCGAGATCGCGCCATTGCACTCCAGCCTGGCTAACATGAGTGAAACTCCGTCTCAAAAAAAAAAAAAAAAAAAAAAAAGAAAGAAAGAAAATGGAACTATAATCACAAGAGAAAATTTGGGTATGCAGGGGAAAATCCCTCTCCTTCTTTGGTATACCACTTCAAAACTCTCCAAGCCCTGAAAAGTTTCTCTTAAACTCTATAAATTCATTTAAAGTTTTTATCACTGTATATGCCTCTTCTTATATTCTTATCCTCAAGGTAAGTATGAGTCTAAGAAAGTCTTGCTGGAGAAAGGCCCACTGAAGTCTATCTTACCATTACAGTACTCCAGCTCAATCAGCAGAGTGGTATTGTCCATGAAATGATTGTAATAGGCAATAATGTTGTCATGCTGCAGCAGTGCCAGAATAACAATCTCATTCAAGGCATCACGACGTTCCTTCTCAGATAGCCGGGTCAAATCAACTTCCTTCCACACAACCAGTGAGTCATCCTACAACACAGTAAGAGGTATTGTGCTTTCCTCTTGCCTGACAGCAAATGAATCCATACTACATCTGAAAGCCTAGAAGGAAAACTTCCTAGAGGGGCAGAGACTGACTCCTATTTTTTCCTTTTAACAGACTTTAAAGGTTATATGTAGAATTTAGCACTATAAGTTATTTCAGGACAGGGGAAGTAAAGCATTAATATGTTGTTGCTGTAACACTTAATTTGCATGATGTCAGTTCCAGGTAAAAATATGGATTAGGGATAGATCTCAAAAAGATTCTACTGAGGACACTACGACAGACTGCTAATCATGATGGTGATTATGGCAGGGCAAGAATACTGGAGAAGTAGAGAATGGGGAGCAATTATCTATGGCTGATCACAGTTTCCTCTAAAATGAAAATACTAAACTTGCCTCTAGTTTTATAAATTTAGACTTCCCTAGTGATTTTCACTTACCCTTTCTGCTAAGTCATGCCCCCTTTTGCAACTCTATAATCTCCTATCACACTTTTATGTATCACATTTTCTTCTATTCCTGAAAACTTACTTGTAGCTCCTAATGTCTACTATCCTTTTATTTATTATTTTTGTTTTTTTAGAGATAAGGTATCACTCTGTTGTCCAAGCTAGAGTGCAGTCAAAGCTCGCATCAGCTCTCAACTCCTGGGCTGAAGCAATTCTCCCACCTTGGCCTTCCCAGTAGTTAGAACTACAGGCACGCACTGCCACACTCAGCTAAATTTTTTTTTAAGAGATGGGGTATGGCTGGGCACGGTGGCTCATGCCTGTAATCCCAGCACTTTGGGAGGCCGAGGCAGGCAGATCACAAGGTCAAGAGATCAAGACCATCCTGGCCAACATGGTGAAACCCCGTCTCTACCAAAAACACAAAAATTAGCTGGACGTGGTGGCGAGTGCCTGTAGTTCCAGCTACTCAGGAGGCTGAGGCAGGAGAATTGCTTGAACCCGGGAGGTGGAGGTTGCAGTAAGCCAAGATCATGCCAGTGCACTCCAGCCTGGCGCCTGACGACGGAGTGAGACTCTGTTTCAAAAAAAGAAAAAAAAAAAAAAAAAAAGAGAGAGATGGGGTATCACTGTATTGCCCAGGCTGGTCTAGAACTCCTGGCCTCAAGTGACTCGACCACCTTGGCCTTCCAAGTG